GTGGTCTCCTCCTCGTCCTCGTCGTCGTCCAGGCTTGTTGTGCCGGAGTGTGTCGCCTCTTGAAAGTAATAGCCAAAACGAAAGCAGGACGACGTTCCAAGTCCACAGTCCATTGCATCGCATTCGCAACGCTCCGCCCACTTCTCAGCAGCGCCGTTAACGTAATTTCCATAAAACATGTTGTTACTTATTTATCTTAATTAAAATAAATTTACATTTTTCTAATTTAACAGCGCGAGGACGCCGACGACGACGGCGACGATGAGTATACCACGACTAGTCAGTCGCGTACAACGCCCGACCCGCGGGCCATGTTGCGCATTAGAGAGCGACATTTTCTTAACAAGCCAAAAGGACATTTACCAGACCATTGGGGAGAAGGACAAAAAAAGAAAACGCCATGCTGAAAAGCGACTGAAAAAAAACAAACCTAAAAATTCTACGTAATGGCAAGTTGCCTGCGCCCTCCTTGGATCTCATTAGTGTTGCGGGCAGGACGACGGTGGCTAAGAGACCAGAACCAGAAAGAGGACCAGGACCAGGCGTTGCCTTCTTTTGAGGAAACAACGCTGACATCGTCGTCATCGTCCTCATCGCTGCTGCTGTTGTTGTTTTTCTGCGCCGTATAAGTGGCACTGCATAGCCACAGTCTACGTCCAGCCGTCTGTCCATCTCTCCCTGGCAGGTCCAGGACGGCATTAAGAAAGCACAGTGGGGGAAAAACGAAAGGGCAGCGCGGGCCAGCCCCGTCCGATGTGAAGGCCTCATGGAGAAAAGCATAAAATTAAAAGCTGATGAGCGTAAAATGTTGAGCAAAATGAAAAGATTTCGCATTGCAACAAATTTTCGTATTTGCGAGGTTCCTATTTTGTTTTTCTTTTTTTGTTTTTCCATGTTGGTGCAGGGGGCCAAAAGCTGTTTGTTAAAGAAAAGAAAATGTGACTGAAAATATGACAAACAGTTTTGGGAAGCAAAAGATATGAGTGCCGCGATAATGAGCAAGAAATGCGAAATGGTGGAATGTCTTGGAGCATCTGATTTAAGTTTATGAAATGGGGGATATGATTTAAAAAGACTGGCCATCAGCAGCTGAAGAATTTGAAGAACTTTAATGGCGCTTCAGCTGTGAAGAGATAATTGACAACTAGTGGAAATTGGAAAATGGAAATTTGAAAAGTGCTGTACTCTTCTCTACTGCATAGTAATTAAAACTGCATTATAAAAAATATTGAAGTAATAATTGAAGTAGTAATTGAAGAATAGTAATTATGATAGTTGAATTTAAACTATACAAAAAAACAATTCACATTTATTTAGAATTTGTTTCCATTTGTGCATTCTCACTTTCAAATCGAAATCTTGAACATGGATTGAAATCTTGAAGATCCGCAGTAGAAGTAGAGAAGTGAAGAAAAGTGCCTATTTATTGTATTCTTTCTGGAAATCGAATCTTCTGATGCAATAAAGTAGATGGAAGCAATTTTTGGAAATAGTATTCTTAACTATTTCTTGTATTGAATTTGTATTCCGTAATATTTTTCGTCGAAATGACTTTTGTTTGACGATAGCTCTAGAGTGGAGAGAGAGCTCTGTTTCGAAAAGATTTTTGTTAAAAATGCTTACAGAAATGTCTTTAAATATATCATACAATCAACTGATGAAATCTTGGACACAAGGGATTTCGAACGACGTTCGAAGTATAGTTTATTTATTTTGATTGCTAATATTCCCATAGAAAATAAATAAATATTAAAAAATTTATTGAGTTGTGTTTTTCGCCTGCAACTCAAAACATTTTCGACTTTTTAGAATTCATTTCAAAATATGTGTGTTCTTAAAAATTAATTAATTAATTAATTGCAATCTCAAGCGTGGCATAACATTTTTGACATGACTTATTAAAAAACAATTTTTATTAAAGATAATGCAGATATTGTTTTTCAAATATTTCCGAAAACTGGTTCCAAAGTCATATTTTAATATTCGCTCTTTTTAGATTTTTATTATGCAATACTGATACGCAGGCCTGTCAATATTTATATTATCTATTGAGTTTGAAAGACAACTTTAAACTTCAAATGAAGCGCCAAACACAATTTTGCGGCTCGCATGAATTTTGTTTAAAGCTCAGGTTTCTTATTGAGGGGAATTGATAGGTCAGTGGCTATTTGGACGTAGATTTTAATTAATTTAGGCATAGGATACTTTCGCTTCCTCTTGTTCGGTGCGACAGCATGAGTTGAATTTGAATTATCGTGAATTGGTACAGTTGTGCTCATTAGTGCTAGCTAGCTGTAGTCGCATGGCAACAACAAACTTGGCCCCATTCCCACAATTTAGTAAGTGTGGCACTTAGCCTACACAGCTCGGCACGGCTGAAAATCTCGAAAAAATGGGCAACAAATCAAAAATCAATACAATCTAACGCCATTTTGTATGCTGAGTGGAATGCAAAGCAGCGGCAGCTACCACAAAACAAAAAAAAAGAAGAGAGAATAAAAAGGAACCAAGGAAGAAAACGTCAAATGAAACCAATACAAAACCATAAATAAATATACGAGTATTCTGGTATACATATACAAATATGTGTGTGTGTGTGTGTGACAAGAAATGTTAGAAAAAAGCGGCGAAAATAAAAAGCAACAACAACAACAACAGCATACGCCCGCAATGGGGGAACATTTTGTGCTGCCAAGCAAAGGAGGAGTCAAGTAAAAAATAAGAAGAAAAAAATGAGAGGAAAAATGCAAATAAATTCAAAGCAAACGAGACTAAAATTATAAAAATTGCCCTCCATGGTGCTGCGCACGACGAGGACGAGAACAAGGACGAGGGCGAGGGCGAGGATGTAGAGGAGAACAAGGCGAAACGAATGCGCGATTCCAATACGGGACATCAACGTCAACGAGGGTGGCACACACACACGCACACACACACAGACCAACACACACCTACAGGGACTATCAGCCATAACCACTGCAGCCTGCAGGGGTGGTACATAATGTCCTGCCATGGCTCTGGCTTGCTGAATATTCGCGTTCGTCATTGCCGTTGGCCTCTGCGCCGCATTAAGTTCTGTTCGCTGTGGTGTAGATGCACATATATATCCAAACATATATATACATATAGATATATATATATATATATATATATATATATATGACCGATGTATACAAACGAAGGAAGAGCGAGAGACTTTTTGTATGTGTATGCACACAGCACGCTGCCATGGCCCGCAGCGTCAATGGACCAAAATAATAACGACTAACGGCCTGTTAAGGGAAAATGCAGCAAAAGAACTCAGAATGGGAGAGTGGGGGAATGGGGGAATGCGAATGGAAAGGGGACTGGGAACTGCGAACTGCGAACAGGGAACTGGGAACTGGGAATGGGGCTAGAGTGTGGGGGAGGAGGGCTAGCCAAGGTTTTTTAAGTGGTCGCGCGTGACGTGCGCCGTCCTGTGGACCTTAGCCGGGCTCTTGGGTGGTGGGGGTGGTCGGTGGTCGGTCGTCGGTGGTGGAGGCTGTTGCTGCTGACGTGGTATTTGCTCGGCTCTGTGCCGGCAGTGGCTGCCACCGCCGCCTCCGCTGCCGCCATCCATGCTTTGTTGACGTGGACGTTGATCGGCTGCCAGGCACTTTTTATTCGCCTATTTGTACACAAAACTCTTGTTCTTGTTACTAGCTGCCATTATGATTTTGAAAAGCCATTGCTGTTTTGCTTTTCCTTTTCCTTTTGCTATTGCCATTGCCATTGCTTTTGCCTGCCCCGTTCTGGGCTCATTGAAAAACTGTGAAATTTTATAATAAGCACTTTTTTTGGTATTGTGTGCTGCCATCGTCGCTGCAGATTATTGTCGATGATTGTGATTGCGTTTTATGTTTTTATTATGGGCACAATGCAGTGGGTGGTCGTGGTCCTGGTGGTGGTGGTGGTGGTGGGTGGAGAGCCACTCCCACTTCGAGGGTGTTGTAAGAAGTACCTATTAAATTTTGTATTTTTTGTTATTGGACGCTCTTTGCTCGCTACTTGCTGCTCGCTAGCCGATGTTGTAATATTCCTTTTGAAAAATGGTCGCCTCGTGTTCTTTATTTTATTTTGCATTTTTGTTGCTGTTGTTTTTGTTTGCTATGTCGCTGTTGTCGCTTTTGTGTTCGTTCGGACGCCATTGGTTTCAATAAAAGCTTATTAATTTTAAATGCGATTTTTAATTAAATATTTGAAAAGCGGGCCATGGGAATCACTTGGCAAACTTTTGATGCTGCTGCAGATTTAAGTGCTTAATATGTCAAAGCTTGAAGTCAAAGCGCTAATAAGGCTCTCAGAACAGCAGGGAGACTTTTCTAATTCAATATACACACATAAAAAACATGCAAGTTTCCATTAGTCGAGCTCTATAAGTCTATAAGTTAAGAATGAGAAAATCGTAGAGTCATGAAGCATACTTCCGATGCTGCTATAAATTAAAGCGCCTGATATGTCGAATATTGGAGGGTTTGAGAAGGGAGAAAGAGAAAGTGTTCCAGAGCTGCTATAAATGTCTTAAAAAGTTGTATATAGTAAGTATATAAAAGCCATACAAGCTGGTCTTTTCTTCCTTAATTAATCTGCTATTTATTAATGAAGCAGTGCTGTAAGTAATTGTTAAATTAACCATTAAAGTACGTCAAGAATCAAATGAAGTCTTCGAGAAGATCAGAGAAAGCTATTATTTGCCGAATACATGCAAATTATGGGAAACTTTCTTCTATAACTGTCTTTAGGAATATAAGTCTATATTTTTCTACTAGATAGAAAAATGCTGTTGACTAATTCAAGATTTTGACAGACAGATGTAGACAGACATATCCGGATATATCTGATACTTGGTAAGAAAGGGCATCAAAAGCTTTCCAATGCTGCCACAGTCTAAAGTGATAAGCAATTTAGGTAATATTCAGGTAAGCTCATAAGGTAAGGTTGTTAAGACGCGTAGATCAAAAACTTCTCTCTTCCATTCTCTAGTCTGAACTATATGTAGTACGTAGTAGTGCAAAGAACTGATAGGCCATGCTGATAACCTAAATAAGTATATAGGAAGTATACATATATTAATTTTCAGAAGACTAGAGAGTTCATGTCGTTGGCTAGATAGTTACCTTCATGTAGGTAACCAGAGAAATGGGTGGAAAGGTGGGAGGTCTAATGGAAGCAGGCTTCTGGCTGCGCATTATCAGCACCTTCAGCATTTTGCAGTAGGTCTTGTTGCATTGGAACCACTTCTGGTTGTAGGCGGCATCCCCGACGCGTAGGCTCTACGCAAAGAAATGTAATCAGACCTGTTATACTTGTAGAGAGACACGAGATAAGGCCTACATACCGCAGATATGAGCTCGTCTCCATAGTAGCAGACCAGAAACACCTGCACCATTGACGTCAACAGAAAGATGCAGTAGATGAGGATGACCTCCAAGGTGGACTCCGTGACTTGGAAGGCGATGAAACAGATTTGCATAGAAGCGGTCAAAAAGTTCAAGAGCAGCGAAAAATTAAACAGATTATTCACATCCTCGCAGAGACTGTAAGCGTGAAGAGCAAGAACATGATTAGTTGAGGATTGGGAGATTACAGACCTTCTGCTCACACTAAGCACTTGTTGTGATAGCGAATTATGGAGGCGAGAAAGTCCAAGTTCTCCTCATCGCGACCGGGCTCGCAGGGATGCGTCTCCAGTCTCATCGCCATGTAGTCGAAGTGCATGCAGAGCTGGGTGATGACCACAATGAGCAACAGATCGGCGCAGAGGAAGGCCACTCCAGCCAAGTAGGCGCCATGGGCTATATCCCAGTAAGTCAGCCAATAGACCAAATTGCTGCTCGAGGTGTTGTAGGGGAACCAGATGAGAAAGCCAAAGTTGCGGTCGAACGTATCGTAGCCGAGAAAATTGTACTTGATCGTGGCCTTAATGGCCGGGTAGAAGGAGAACGTGGTGGTGTACATCAGACAGAGGGACGTGAAAATATTCATCACACGGTTCATGGTTTTCTGCGAGTCGGCCAACTTGTAGGCCCTCTGCTTGGCGTGCGTATTCGGATGCATTTCCTCCAGCTCGTCCAGCAGCTTAATCAGCGTCTCCTTGTGTATAACCATAGCCCCTTGCTTAAAGTCTGCCACCAGAGAGAAGCCAATGCAGGGGGCGACTGCTATTGCCGCCTTTATGGTCTCATAGCTCTGCATCGACTTGTACAAATACACGAACTCGCCCATAACCAGCAAATTGAAGTTGATAAAGCCCGCATAGAGGTAGATCTTGAGCAGCAGGCTGCGCCAGGGATTGGTGGAGCGATGCGAGTATATGTCCTCGCCTATGGTCCTGTAGAAGGTCACGGGCACACTCATTATGCTGCTAAAGCTCATTGGCGGCCCAAGGACTGGCTCCTCCGTATTGCCCATGACTGGCTCCTCCGTATTGCCCATGACTGAACTTGAATGGAACCGCAGTGAAGTGAAAGGTCCTACTGTGGCAAGTGGAGGGCATGCGTGAGCTTAAATGTCTCCACTCGGGCAATGGGCGTGGCTCGTAAGTTTCTTTTGTGTCCCGTCATGCCATTTAAAGTGTTGATAATTGTGTGTAAACTTTTCAAATTCAGCCCAACACTGTAATTAGGTGTGAAGGCGAGAAAGTGCCGATGTTGCCATCAGATGTTCAATTCTCAGGAAACAATTATGATTACTTCAAGCAGTAGAGCTCAGGAAAGCATTTCTGGAGAACTATGTAGTAACTAGCAGAATATGCTCAGAATTCGTACAAAGGGAGGATAAGTAGAGAGGATTATTCACTCTCTGGCAATTGATTCTGTTCTGACTCGCATATACTCGTATGAACAAATGAAAGGCAACTAAAGCTATTCAGAAATCAATTCTAGTTTTCTATTTTGGGATAGACGAAATGCAATATTAATATTCTTAAAAAAAGCTTAGAGGTTTTTTAGTAAATAGAGGGTAGTCCTTTTCAAATAAAAATATAGGTAAATAATTTTTTTAATATAAAATAATAAACGCATACTTGGGCTATAGGCAGTAATTACATATATTGTCTGTTTGAAAACGTCGGAATATTCGGTTAGAAAAGTCTTCTGTTTACAAAATTAGGGATTTCCATTCAAAAAAATGTGGATTTAAATAAAAAAGAAATATTTATTTTTTGTTAAAAAAAGATTTGCTTATTAAATGATATTTCTAAATTTGAAAACAATTTTTATATTCGTTCTATTGAAGACTAAACATTATATATAATGATAAAATAAAATTAAAATATTTTTTTCTATTGATTGAATAATGTACATAATTTCGATGCGGCAAATTAAAAGCTGCTCATTGATGCCATCTTGGGATTAATCTCAAACCACACATAAGATTTTCTAACAGACTTTTCTAATAGACTCCGACAATTTATTGTTAAATATTTTTTTTTTAGTTTATTTTAGAGTTTTAAGTTATAAATTATTGCTTACATGTTTTAGTAAAATATATTTAACAATGACAAAAAAATTTTAATATTTAATTCATTATTTATTTTATATGCTTGATTGAATAGACACCTTCACTTTCTTGACCATTTTTTTTGGTCATATATCGACCCCTAATTTGTCGACTGAACAAGTAAAATTTAGTTGTTTAAAATATTTATTAATTATATTTATTAAAAAGTGGAGATATGAAGTTACAAATAAAAATGTCTGAAAGAATATATAAAACGATTTAAATCACATTATCAAGCGCATGAACTTAGAATAAAAGAGACTACAACTTGGAACTACTTAGTTTATAATTTTAGTTCTCATTGCAAGTTCGACTGTACAAGTATAGAGTACGTATAATATCTTGACCTTAGCTATAGTCCCTAATGCTGCAGTGCATTTAGGTCCCCTCTCAAGCCACTAATAAGCACTAATTGGTTAGGCCCCGCTCAAAACTTGAGCATGACAAACAAAAGCAAATGTCACAGCAATTTGCACCGTTCCATCCAAACTTGAGGCAAACTTGGCCAGAAACGTCTGCTTACGAGCTCGTGTACGTGCCCAGTCAACAAGACTAAGACCCAAGGAAATTATGCAAAGTGGTTTGGGCCCACAGTTTCAATTCTGGGCCAGGCTTGCTCGAGTGCCAATGAATGGATTTGTTCGCAACGAAACTAACGCCATATTTCTGCCTGCCCTTTGTTCGGATAAGTAAGCAGCGGGGAATTTTCATTTTAGCGTTGAATGTGTTGAATGAAATGAAAATAATTTTTCTTGTTATCCTGCCTCCCAAGCACAAATTGAGCAGAAAATAACTAATAAAGTCCGACGCTGTCGTTCCAAATGAATAAAATGCAAGGCGGACATTCAAGATTACGTGGCTTGGACTTTTTCTTCAATTTTTTTCTCCCGTTGATTCCTTTTAAGGGGCGTACGTGCAAGGCGTCAAATGAGCAGCGAACAAATATATATAAGTAGAATACATATACTACATAGTATATGTAAGTATGTATGTACGTTTGTTGAAAAAATGGCCAGAGCAGAATGGCAGCTAAAATTGAAATGCTGCTGCCACAATGGGTAATTTTCATTTCAATTTAACATTTTTGTGGCTCCCGACGTCCGAAGGTCCAAACGTCTACACCTCCATCAACGCAGAATGGAGATTCTGCCTCCATCCCCCTCGATCTTTTCTCTTCTTCTTCTTTTTCGTATCCGCCTTCGACTAGGACTGAATTTTTTGCTCATTTGCGCACATTGGTTGCATTTGAAAATTGAACTTTTGCCTGCCTCTGGAATTTCTTTTTCGTCATTTTCTGCTGAACTTTTGCCTGCAGCTGAATACAAAAAAAAAAATGCAAAATTAACGAAAATAAGAAAAAGTTTGCTTTGGACAACATTTCAGCCATATTAAAAACGTTTGGAAATTTTTGTGAAAATTCTTTAGACACACTTTATAGTGGGAGCAGAGGTATGTGCTGGGTAAGGGTAGGCTGGGGGCGTTGGGAGCTCGTCCTAAAAAGTTTGCTCTTTGAATTATTTAATAAACCAACGTCGGGGGCCATGTGACAGAGACTGACACAGACTGACAGAGGCAACAACAGCAACAACTCTAACAAAAGCGTATCGAACAACTTTTTGCGCAAAAGATTTTTATGTCAATTTTCAATGCAATGTTCTATTAATTAGCACAGCTGCCGTGCCAGGACACAAACACTCACACACACACACGCACGCACACACACAATCACACAATGCCACTTATATACTCCACCCCCTAGCATTTAAATTCCCACTCATGCTCTCTGCAGTTCATCGCTCACAACTCACAGCTCAAAAATTGCAACTCAACTCAATTGCGCTCGCGAGCAGCGTTTGGAGCCAGTTCGAATTGGCCGCAGGGGTAGTTGAGTGCGTGAGTGCGTCCTTTTGAGCGCAACTCAGAGGCCATCAATGTTAAAGCGATGTTAATGCTATGTTTGCAATGTAATGCTATGTTCTGTTAACCTTAACATACCCTGCTATGTTACCCCTGCCGAGCCTGCTGCTGGTTTGTGTCTTTGCTAGCTGGGAACAGTTTTGGTCATGCACCGATATGTGCGTGGCAGGACATTCGGCTGATTGGGGTGGTTGAGATTTTATATCCTGATTTTGTGCAGTTCCCGCCCAGATACGAAAGATGGCGCCACCAAATCCAATTTGAAACCGTAATTATACTTGTAGACTAGAATTGTGTTAAAAGTTTCGATTCGGATTTCAAAAACTTTAAGAAATAATTGATTCGACCAATTTATAGAGCAGTTGTAAAAGGCTACATAGTTTTAAGCTTCAGGCTACTATAGATTAGGTCTACTAGACAATATTAAAGGGCTATTTGATTAGAAAAAGCGATTCGTTACAACTTAAACATAGTACAAATTTTCCAAGAAACTTCTTTTTAACTGGCTAGATAAATGCAGTTTCTATCATTTTATCCCTCAAAATTATTATTCTTTTTATTTTTTGGTGTATTGGCTATTGATCAGAAATGTGAATAAAATATTTTTACAATAATTCAGTTCCTTTTAATGTGGTATTTAACTTCTGGACTAGATAAAAAACGGGAATATTTGTTGAAGACACTCATCATCACATACAAGTATGTATTAATATTATAATAATATAATAACTCCAAAACAGAGTGCAACTGAATCTCAGAACAATAAATATTTTTAATGGACTCTTGTTAGTTATATTGGCTTGGTTTGAACACTTGGTGAGAAGTATAAAATATATATAATCCGTAATACACGTTAATAATGCATTAAAAACTTGTCAAGATGAGAATTTAAATAAAGTTTGGAGCCATAATATTAAGCAGCTCCTAAGGAATATAAAAGTTTTCTTTCTACATTTTAATGTCGATCTTTATAAATCATATAAGCAGCCAGATCTCAAGATAATTAGGCTAAGAAGAATAAGTTTAAAATTACTTTACAAGCCTTATAATGTCAAACTGCTTGTCATATTTTAAATAAATACATGTGCGAAGATTATGGATGTGTTAACATTAATAAATTTTGAATCTCTCTCTCTTACTTAAATTCAATAATTCTCGTTTAACTTACATTCCTTAATTGTAAAGGAACAATGTTGACTTACTTCGTAATAGCAGAATAGAGAAAAACCACACAGATTCATGAAAAGGTTTTTCTTTTTTTTATTCAAGCTGCACTTTCGTCAACCGATTTCAACTACTTAGCGCTTTGCAGGAATTACAAGCATATTTGAGTGTATTCTTCATAATGTGCATGTTTTTTTACCCGTTTGAATGTGATTCTCTGGACGTTTTTTTTTTTTTTAAATTTTGTTTTGCGCAAGGCTTTGAGTATGCCGCCACTTTGTTCTAAGTCTTCAGTCCATCGCTCAGTTGCCCCTCACCCCTTTGCTTTCCTGCCCACTCGGTCGGCTATACTTTTTGCAGCGTGGAGAGCTGCACTTAAGCGCAGATTTTAATTACTTTCCGGCCGACTGGCAGTGGCGTCGGAACAGCAACAAAGATTATGAATCGGGGGTAGGGTAGGGGGAGCAGGTCGCCTTTTTCCAGCGTTTAAAGAATGCAGTTATCTAGTGGCCGGTGATGGGCCTGCCATTTAGATTAGCCAACCTCCTCCACCCTACACCCTACACCCTCCACCCCCCTCTCCATGGCTTTTGTCGCACACGAGCGTGCGCGCCTCAAGTGCAGAATTATGTATTCATGACGAAGTGGATGGCGTGGGGAATGGCGATGAGAGGGGAGAGCTGAGAGCTGAGGACTGAGGGCTGAAAGAAAAGCCAACAATTTTTTCTTCTTCATATGCCATAGGCACACATGAGTGCGAGATGGCGGGAGGGGGCGGATGGGGAGGGGCGTGTGCCACCCTGCAACCACTTGGGCAAAATTGTACCTAAAAAAAAAAATGATGAAGGGAGAAT